CTCGCTCTACGATTTGGTCCCGAAATATATCTCGTAACTTGGACGATCAATAGTGTCTTTTCCTTTGCCTTTGGTCTACGCGGAACGAATACTATAGAAGTTGTAGGTATTAGATCTTGCGTTAGTATACTCCGTACAATATGCGAACGTCAGTACCGTCAGCCTCTAAGCTGGTGAGCTCAACCGTGAACTTCATGTTTGGTAAACACGCAGACAAATCCAGTGAGTTCGTTCCATTTTGTATTTGTCCCTGTAATGCTTTTAAACTATATGTATTTAGTCATGAGTGGTCATACTCCTAAGGTCATCCGTATTCGCTCAACTGCCAAAACCATTCAGCTCGTGCCATTTCCGTCAGATAATGCTGAATCATGGATTCAGACAGCTGAGTCTGATTTCAGTGAGCATGGGATGACTGATCAACGTTCACAGTTCCTTGCAGTTGTTTATGCCCTGCCGCAGGAACTCAGCAAGTGCGTGACTGTGCAGGTGTCGATCCCAGAGGTGAGTGGCTCGTATGAGTTGCTTAAATCAACACTTCTAAGGAGAAACGTTCTCACGGATCGACAACGTCTTGACGAACTATTTCGCAACGTCGAGTTAGGTGATCAGTCAGTCATGAGCATGCTAACATGAATGACGAAAGTTATTGGCCAACGTCAGTTTATAATAATAATATCAATAATGTATTATTTCATATAAACATAAATTTACATGAAAATGCGTGCCATTTTTACAGCCACGATCAAGTATGTTATAATGTCAAATAGTAGATTGTCTACAAGTTAATGATGTTTGAACAGCTAAATACTTGATATATATATAAATACACTCATTGTCTGACCCAGGCCGTATTATTATTGAATTGTACAGTAGTCCTCCAGCTTGCACGGGAAAAAGTTTGATGAAGGACTTTTCAGAGAAATCTTCTTATCCAAACTGCCACAGTCAGTATAGGCTGTACTTATGACACTTCAGGGTATTATTTTAGACGACTTAGCTGTTTCTGCAGATAAAATTCTAGAAATAACTAAGCGGCCATTTACTGAAATATGCTCAGTTGCCAAACAGACCTCGAGTAGAGACACTGCAGTGGTAGAGTTATGAGACTCTGTTCAGTAGCTACTTATGTCAAATAATCCTGTAATACCTCCTGTCGTCATCCGAGCTCCCCTCAACGGCGAAACCCACGTGGTCGATCTAAATCCAACTCACGTTTACTAAAAAACCCTGACTGGTGTTGGTATCACAATACCTGTGGTCAGGAAGCGAAATGTAGCAGAAAACCTTGTAATTTGGCAACACCTCGAAGACTATAGGAAACTATACTGCCAGCACTCGTTAGCGGCAACCGTCGCCGATGGCAATAGCCGCCTACCTTAGATTCAGGATGTGGTCAGCCAGACCCGATATTTAGTCGACACAGGCGCCGAAGTCAGTGTCCTTCCTGCTACAGCAGCAGATCGACAGAAGGAACCTGCCTTCAACTTACAGGCTGCAAATGGAAAACCAATTGCAACTTTTGGTAGGAAATACATATATCTGAACACGGGTTTACGCAAACCCATTCAGTGGATTTTCCTTCTCGCTGACGTGACAATGCCCATCATTGGCACAGACATACTCAATCATCATGACTTACTCGTAGACGTCCGCCAAAAACGATTGATAGACAATCCTGCTAGACTGTCCATCAAAGGCATCATCTAATTAGGTCCCAGCTTGTCACTCATTAAGAAGAAGGCAATCTTTGATCCAGCTTTCCAACCGATTGTTGATAAATACCCGGAACTTAATTGCCCGTCTAACGATCTACCGTGCATAACCAGCAGTGTTATGCGTCACATCATAACCATAGGACAGCCCGTGGCATCTAAAGCACGACGACCCGCTCCTGACAAACTGAGACTCGCTAGAAATGAGTTCGACCATATGCTCACCCTTGGCATAATTCAGACATCGAATAGCCCATGGGCATCCTCACTGCACATGGTGCCGTTAGTACTCGAAGAAGTCAATATTGTGGCAAAAGCCACCAAACCTGCTGTCAAGCCCTAAAATAAAACGCGTTCTGGACGAAAACTGAGATTCCCAGAACATCTTCAGACTTATATCACATAACTAAGTCATGTGATTCACCCAACTCTTATTCGTTTGTGGTATATATATTTTTCTTTCAGACACATCCACTAAAATAATTAGATATATAATTTTTCGATGTTCTAATTTTCGCATTACTTTACTTTATGGTGGGTGCATATCATTTTTCAAACGTTATTTTTGGTACATCTTCCCCAACAAGGTTCTTAGCATCCTTCTTTTCTTTTCCAGGTGCGACGGGCACTGGACAAGAAGCAAACGAAGCAGGAGATCCAACGGACAAACATACACGAAGCGATGTACAGACATCCTATTAGCATAGGTAGACGACCAGTAGGCACTCCATCAAGCCGCACGGAAGAGATTTTTTACCGATGGGGAACCGTCGAGTTTTTACTTCCGGCTGGTTCTGTCTTAGGGTCCTCACAACCCAACTAGGATGGAGTTAGCTGTAGCGGTAAATAATTCCCAAAATTTATTGACCGCAGCAATCATCACTGAACATTGGATGCTGACCCTCACTGTTTAAGTCAACTTGTTTAGCTGAAGGCTTCCGGTCAAGCATTCATGCCATTTGGTACTCCGACGTGTCACGTTCGTGCATGATCACTACCCAGTTAAGCAATCATCTCGCTCTACGATTTGGTCCCGAAATATATCTCGTAACTTGGACGATCAATAGTGTCTTTTCCTTTGCCTTTGGTCTACGCGGAACGAATACTATAGAAGTTGTGGGTATTAGATCTTGCGTTAGTATACTCCGTACAATATGCGAACGTCAATACCATCAGGCTCTTAATGGTAATCACTTTAAGTGCTCTTCAATGGACCACCCACAATTTGTCATGAAATACCACAACAGCACACATGGAAATGCTATTGGTCACCACTATTACAACGGAAGAAGAAATTCTATATGTGATCAAGCTACTGAACACCGGCCGGGAAGGCAGCCGGACCAGATGGAATTCCCCTGAACCACTGAAGACGGCCACAGAGATTATGACAGATTTTCTCTCTCTATTACTGCAAAAAGTTTGCCTACCGATTAGAAGGAAGGCTACCTTGTCAAGCTGCCAAAGAGAGGCGACTTACGCCTCACTCTGCTATAACTGGCGTGGAATAATGCTCTCGTCCATGCCAAGTAAAATACTAAGTCTCATCATCCTGGAGAGAATAAAAGGTGCGCTGGATACAGAACTCCCCCAGCCTGTAACAAGCTGGATTCAGGAAAAGCGAATCATGTGCTGTTCAAATTGCGAGTCTACGCATCGTCACCGAACAAAGCATAGAATGACAGTCAAACCTCTACCTCAACTTCATCAACTTCGAAAAGGCCTTCGACAGCGTAGGCCAAGAAGTAATTTGAAAACGACTTCAACACTAAGGCGTACCTCAAGTTTTCGTCAACTTCATTCATCAGTTATCTATATGACAATGCCACGTGTCAAGTGATCCACAACGGAAAGCTCAGTGGAGCATTCGAAGTGCGTACGGGAGTAAGACAAGGGTGGCTGCCTATTATCACCGACGATATCCTTAATTGTAGTGAACCGGATTGTGCGTCAGACTGTTGGGGGCGAGGAGTCAGGAATACTCTGGAAGACAAATAAGAAGACTCTGGAAGATCTGAATTTCGCAGACGATATGTGTCTAATATCACACAGACTCAAAGACTTGCAAGCGAAAACCAACAAACCGTTGGAAGAGGTAGGCAGCGAAGACAGGACTGCAGATGAACACAGAGAAGACGGAGGTGATGAAGATAACCAATCAACAGCAACAACAACCAGCACCAATAAACATCAATGAGAGAGATTTAACAGAGGTTGCCTCCTTCACTTATCAGGCCAGGAAGCATCGTTTCAACTACAGGTGGAACGGATGAATATGTGAAACCAGTCGGAATCAGAAGGGCGAGAACGCCTTCATCAACTTGAAACTAATTTGGAAATCTTCTGCACTAAACGTAAGGAACAATGTGAAGTTGGTTCTTCTGTATGGGTCAGAAACTTGCACTGTGTGTCACGAAAAGGATTTTCAAAATGTTGCAGCCTGTCATCAACAGCTGCCTTCTCTGACCCCATACTGAAGACCAAATGGCCAGAAAGAATGAGCAATAAGAAACTATGGGAACAAACCAACAGGTGACAGCCGATCACTCAACAAATGTGTAGGAGAAAGTGAAGACAGATCAGGCGTACATCAAGGAGGCTGTCGAATGACATCGCACGTCAGGCAATGCCTCGAGTGGAATCCAAACGGGAAGCGACGAGTGGGTCGTCCTAGAATGACATGGAAGAGATCGTGTGAGGAAGAGATGAGAGAGTTTGGTCAATCGTGGACCCAACTGAAGAGGACGACAGAAAACAGAATAAAGTGGAGGTGTGTTTTTGAAGCCCTACGTTCCACTCGGAACGCAAGGGAATAAAAAATAGACAATAAAATAACATGCTATTATTGGCTTCAGCAGAGCTACGGCACCTGAGAAGATAGCTCGTTATGGAACACACCGGAAGCATAGAACAGTTCAGAAACGGAGGAGAGTGAGTACCAATAAATCGTAAGGCTTCTACAATTTTGTCGAAAAGTATTGGATATTGGATGTTTAAACTTTGTTTAGTCAAGCTATGTCACGTCTGGCATCAGACAGTAGTTGTTGAGTGCGCTTACTATTGTAGTAGTGGTTCTCGTCAGCAGCATGTCGGATAGGTAAGGTTGTCTGTTAGTCTTCAGGCTTTCAGATGTCTCTTGTGAGTATGTTAGTCGACTTAGGGATTTTGACAGTATGCTGTTTGCTTGGGGTTGTCAGCAATTGTTGTCCGACGGACAAAAGTGTGTCGTGCAGTTGAGACATGTCTCAACTGCACGACACACTTTTGTCTGTGACTGCAGTCACAGTAATTAGGAGAACGATTTGTTAGTCTTCGAGTAGCATAGGTTAAAATACCATGAACTGGTTCACGTTACAAACATGCAAAGTGAGCGTCAGCTTTGACTAGTGTGTAGTGGCATGAAGTGGTTAGTTGTATCCCGTGTGCACTGAGTTGCTACGGTTATTTCCTGAGAGCGGTCTTAGAGATAAACGGATTTCTCCAGTGGTGCAACCTCCTGGTTTGCTTTCTGCGGCTTCATGGGACTGTCAAACTTTGTCCGGAGTGGTATCATGGGTTGTAGATATTGGAGGTATTTCTCGTCAGTATGCCGTTATGTTGGACGATAACTGATGATGGATCAGCTAATTCGTCGATATATACTCACAGGTCATATTCAATGCGAGTGTGAATAAAATTGAATACTACAATCTTTATGACGGTCATTTAAGCACTACTGAATTAATCGGTTGTGTTTTGTAGAGGGTTTTACGGACATCCGTGTGGACGTGGAGCACCTGGTGGTCGGGGAGACCGAGGTGGATCAGACAGGCCTTATGGAAATGGGTGAGTGTGGATTGATTTGCATGATTCCTCGCCACTGACGTTATCCGTGTAACCGCCACCCTGTACGTGCAAAACTGAGAAGCTTAGAAGTATTTCAGCGCATACCTCGTCAATGTCTTTCTGGTGTGATTTCAATTCCAGTTTGGAAGCAGTGTAACTAAGATATCCCATAGGCCGAACGGCTTCATCACAGAGTGGTCACTCGAAAAGCCATCTGAACTTTGGTGCATCAAGCTTATTTGGCCGAAATTGAGTTGTCTAGACACACTGAATAGTCGGGCTGGACTTGTGGTGTGTTTCGGTGCTGGTCGTGCACGTTAACTACAGCTTGACAGTTCCTGAGAATCTGTTTGGAACGAAGACTGATGACATGTGGCTAACATGAAGGATAAAGAGTGACTGAATTGTCATTAATTTTTGTCCTGTGCATTTAGCTACGATGGTTGGCAGTTGTTAGCGAGAAGTAGTAAGTGTCTTTTGTGTTCGGATACGTATTATGTAGTCCGCTGTCATCTCCCATGATATATTGTCAGATTGATTTTTCAGTCAGCCTCCACAGATTAGAGAGTAACACTTCGTATTCGTGGTGTGCATAACTACTAAGATGTTGTTCTTCACCCTTCAGGTCACGCGTCAACATTTCAGGACCGTTAAAGAAGCCTGCTGAAAGAGGTCATTCAGCGTAAGTTTATGACTGCTGACAATAACTCGTAATAGTTCGTCTGGTTCTGCATGGAGTTCCAATGCACCTTGTGAACGGGGTGATATTCCGTCGTCTTCGGAGGGCGAAATTGCCTCGGAAGCTGCTCGCCAGAAAAAGAGCCATCCAGTTCCAGAAGCTATGTGAGTACTATTCCTGTTGTTTCTTCAGATAACACGACATGTTTTGTCCTAATGCCTAACTAGCCTTCGTTTCTTTGTTTCAGATTTGACATGTCTACGGGGATTTCGAAGTAAGTTGACGTCAAATAAACTCTAGCAGTATTTGTCTTCATTGCTTTTTTCGGTAACGCTCCCGAATTGACTATTTTTCAGACTAAACATGCAGAAGATACTCAGAATGCCGAATAGACCAGATCAAGGAGGTACAATTGGCAGGAAAGTCAAAGTCACTTCAAACTGTTGGGATTTTTCTTTTCACCACAAAACGGTATATCTTTATTTTGTGGAAGCGAACTCAGTTCACCGATTGGAAGCTAGGGAGGGCAGTAAAACTGAGATAAGAATGCCACCTAAGGAGTTGAGATCTTTAATTCAGCAGGTAGCTGACTCGTAAGTACCATTGTGTTATTGATCAAATGGATTGTTTACATATGTAACGGAACTTTCTGTCCCTTAATTATTAGGCTGAATTGTTCCTGACTTTCGGTCAAGTATTGCTTGCTTGTCAACCGAAGGTTCGTACACGTATGGGATAACTTGTTCCATGTCCCACACCATTCATTACGAGACTTCGGTTACCATCAGTGTTGTTTAAGGAGAATTGTTGAAGTTGTTGGTTATGGCTTGTATTGATGGCAATGGTATCTATTCATAGACCTCATGCTAAACAATTATGCTTATTTCACTCTCTTCTGCAGTTTACCAGATACGATTATATATGATGGCGGTCATGCCATATACTCTGAAGATCCGTTACCTGGTGTCACAACGGACCCCGTAGAAAGAGAGATTGAGATCAAAGAGCCGTTTGGACGGGACCGCCTTCTTCTCAAGTACCGGATTATGGAAGTGCAGAAGGTATCTACTTCCGACATCAGTCATTTCATAACGAGTCCGAAAGCGACCTCAATGAATATGCCTCAAGTAAGTCTGGATATGTTTCAGATTTGTCTCTAGGATTGTATCAGATTATTAGATTGCATCTTGAAAACAGTGTCAAAGCAGTCGTTTGTATCCCTTGGACGCGCAGCCCTATTTCAGGGGACACCAACTAAAGTGGTTGTGGATAAGCTTCTCACTATTCATAAAGGTTTTATAAGTACTGTGAGACCCCAGTGGAAGATTCGTGTGAACTTGGACATGGTAAGTAGTGATACACGTTCTTCTTACATAATCACAGACGTGCAAAGCCTACTTTGTATCTGGGAATCTAGCGGACGTCATGTACTCGAAGTATGGAGACGATATGGCCAGATGTAGCACTCAAATGGCGTACGACTTGAGAAAGATACGAGTTGAGACTGATAAATTCTACAGGAGCGATGATGGTATGCATGTTTTCTGTTATACCTCATACATTTTAGGACGTGCATATTCCCGACGCTTCACCGTGCACGGGATATCATCACTACCAGCTGATCGTTTGATGATTGAGGGGTTGAATCAGTCCGTGGCTGCATATTTCAAGGAGCACCATCATATCACTCTGAAGTATCCAGAGCTGCCATGTGTGAAGGTAAATTTCCGTTTCAGTGATTATTTTTGTAGGTTGATCAAAAGCGTGAAGTGTATGTGCCGATGGAACTGTTAAACATTTTGCCATATCAAGCTCCTAATGCGAGTAAAGCCGATGTTGCGAGTGAAGTTATCCGTTGTGCAGCAATTCGACCACATGAACGCTTCAGAGAGCTGGAAAATTTTGCCAATAATATGCTGCAGTAAGAGTATTTTATTTATGAGTTGATACTGCTGGTCAGTACTAAAGTGTAATGTTGCTTATTGATCCAAGAGTTGAGGGGAAGCATGTTGAGATCGACGAGCTTCCGATGATTGATTTTTCCGGCATTCCATGAAGCTTATAGCTCGACACTCACTGTTGTAGCGCATTAAAAGGATGGTGAGAAAGTAGAATAGGTAGTAAGTTACAATGCAAACCTTGGATACTTTTTGGGGATTTCCGAAATATCACTCTTAGCTTCTATAGAATCATTGGTGATGTCAGTGGTAGAGTCCTCCAGAATGGATGGTGAAGTGCTCGAGACAGTGCTACTTTAAGTTGTAGTCGATAAGCTATGGATCTGTAGACCCTTCCAACTACAAGCCAACTCAGTTTTCCCATGACTAGAAATTCTAGTCTTCATTATATTCCTGTATAGAGACAAGTTGAAGGTGAGAACTGAAGCATACTGTTAGACGAATGATTAGTTATAATTGTATTTCAATGGTTGTTCATGCACAGTGATAAGCTTTTGATTTCGAGCGAAATTGCCACCAGCTTATTGGATTTGAAATACAATTAAACTTAATTGATCTATTGCACAATGCGTTAACTTCTCACTGATATTATTAGATGAGCGTTTTGCGAACGTTTTGTTGACAAATCTGATGTCCGTTGTGTCAGCCGTAGTTTTAAAATTTGAATAAACGTGAAGTAAATACCGCAGTCCTGGATAAGTGCCGGAGATGCTTGACGTGACGCCTACCTACAAAGCTTATTGTTTGTTTTCCAGGCATGCAAGCAGATACGACATACACTGTTTTACACATAGATTTGATAAGGACGCAGAATGTGGCGGTGTCTAGTTGGTAATAGTGGGTCACGAGTTATATAGTTGCACAGACCTGCAACGAGTCGAGCACGACAAAATTAGAGTAGTGTTTGTTGACCGTGTGACAGTGAAGAGGGTAAGTATGCTTGAATGCAAGTCTGGAGCCAATTATGCAGGAAAGTGTGTAAACGAAGTTAGTCTGGAACCAGATTTTATGATTTACTCAATTCATTGTTTTGTAATTATGAGGTATTTTTACATGATATTTGTTGCATTTCCTCCAAGGTCCCATCCACTGATTAAACAATTTGGTTTAGCGATTCAACCGAGGCCAGTGGAAGTTAACGCACGTGTTCTCCAACCTCCAACTGCTGGTTTTGGTCGTTCCGGTGTGCGACAACTGACGCCAGGTAGTTGGATCACACCTGGCTTTCTTCGCCCTGCCGGCGAAGGAGTAGAATTAATGTGGGCTGTACTTAGCATTCCGCCTAATCAGGTATGTTTTCTACTCCGGTCCAACATAAGATTAGTGCTGTAACGAGGATGAGTTGTGCAATCACTTGGGCATTAAATTGACTTGGTCATTTGTCGATTGTATCAACATCGAAGGGTCCCTCGCCTGGTTTCATGACAGCCCACCTATTTCATTGTTCACTGCATTACGTCGGTGGCAATATCATTATCTTTTATTTGTCAGTGTTTAATGCTCTGTATACGAAGCTGAGGTTTTGTCTGCCTTTTAATAATAATGTGAATGAAATGTTGTCAGATAAGTAGAGTAGTCTGAGAAATGTGCACTTAATTCTGGTTTGTTGTCGAAAGGCATATGTTATTGTTGAAAACCGTTAGTCTCCTTTATAAATTTGGATAGTGTTTTTAGAAGACGAATATTGTCTGAAAAGTGTGTATTTGCGCAATGCATTTGGAAGAACCTCATGTTATTGTTATTGTCAAATGTGAAGGCGAGAACTGACTGTTTCCTCCTCTTGCCATGTTTTCTTCCTAGCGGTCTCATGGTCATGTACAGAAGGTGATATCGGAATTGCCTAGAGCGGCCAGTCGCTTTGGTGTTCGGTTTAGCCCTCGACCGATTGTGGCACAGTGTCCGAGAGGAGAACTTAACAGGAGGTTCGAGGAGTTTTCCAGACAAGGATGTTGCTTCTTACTTCTCATCCTGTACGATGAACAGTCCTACTCATCCATTAAACGTCTGAGTGACCTACAAATGGGCATTCGGACCCAATGTGTACGAAGTCGTACTCTGGACAAACCGAACGTTTTCCGTAAGTGATTACTGTTGTTCACATGTAGCTTTCAGTGTGTTTCTGTATTTCGATGAGCTTAATTCGGTTTTCTGCTTTCAGCTAACCTGTTGCTCAAACTGAATGGGAAACTCGGTGGTGTGAACTGGCAAATTCCTGATTTGATTAAGGACAGTCAGGAGTTGGTTATGGTTTTCGGAGCCGACGTCACTCATCCGGCGCCTACACAAACTCATGAAATTCGGAAGTCAGTAGCTGCTGTTATTGGTAGCATTTCACCCGATCTGATGAGATATGGGGTAGTTATCCGTCAACAGGCAACCACAGAAAAAGGCAATAAGTCAGCCAGAGAAATAATCGATAATATGCGTCTCATTGTCAGTGAGCTACTCCAGGTTAGTTTTCATCAATGACCGACTCTACTGTCTTACGTTCCCCTTCTTCCCGTTGTACGCTTTTGTTCTTCCTTATTATTTGTGTTTTGTTGTAGCTTTACCTGCGAAACACGAACGGGCGTTTTCCAACGCGCATGATATTCTATCGTGATGGAGTTTCGGAGGGCCAGTTCGAAAATGTGTTGGTGGAGGAGTTGGGTGCAATTCAAAGAGCCTGCGCAGATATTCGTCCTGGTGAAGAGCCTGCTATCACTTATATTGTTGTGCAAAAGCGTCACCATATTCGATTTCGACCATCTGACCCCAGGTAAGGTATTCGCTCATGATGTTTTCTGTGTACCTACTACACCTTATTCGTGTCTTAACGGTCTGTTTGAATGCTTTGCTAGGGCAAGAAACGTGGAGCCAGGAACGGTGATTGATACAGATATCACACATCCCAGGGAATTCGATTTCTACCTCTGCTCTCAGGAAGGGATTCAGGTAAATTGTTTCCTTGTGTTAATACCATTACTTTTAGGGTACATCGAAACCTGCTCACTATCACGTTTTGTATGATGATAGTAACTGGACATCGAATGCTCTGCAGATGTTCACCTACCACTTATGCTACGGGTACATGAGGTGTTCCCGTAGTGTCTCGTATCCAGCGCCGACTTATTATTCTCATTTGGCTGCATTTCGGGCACGTGAGTGGTTATCGGACATAGAGAAACCAGAGATTCTGTTAGATGCTGGTCGTTTCAAAGTTCACAGCAGTCAAGTTGACGGCATGTTTTACTTATAAACAGATTTTGTTATTTTCATATAAATTGTATTTCCTTTTGAATCCATCTTCTCTTTTCGAGTTAACTGTAGTTAGTTAAGGAAGGCTACGGTGATACAGCATCAACGTAATACTGATAGGAAACCTTGAACACTTCACAATTCGATGGTTGATTCGGACGTTTTCTGGGAGAAGGTGACTGACTGGCTGCATTAGAGGTGTTCTGACCTCTACGTCCCTGCTGTGTGTTTTCAAAGAATCGGTTGATGAGGCAGTGTCAACACCTGGCATTGATAAGTCCATTAACGTGCGTGTTGTGAGTAAGAGTGAAGAAAGTGTAATTTCGAAGCTAGTTGTCTGTACTCTTGAGCAGGGGAAATGGTTGTCTTCTGCAGCAGTGTGAATTCCAATAATTTATTTGGTCAAATGGTGGTTAATCTGAATGGTTCGAGCATTTCTCGGTGTATATCACAACTGTTAAGGTCGATTGTTCACTATTTGCGCAGTGATTGATTACCACAAATGCTTAAAAAACGACGGGGGTTCGCAGTATCTGTTTATCAATAAAAGTTGTCCACCTTGATTTGCTCAAGATTCGTGGTTTGAACGGTTTAGGATTGTGTGGAGGGTCTTACTACGCGCAAGTGGCTTTCGTGCCAAATGACTTTAACTTGTTTGGTGATGGTATCGGGGTCAATGCACAGTGAGCTTTTTTATTTTACTTAGATAAGAACACATAATTTATGTTATGGGCACTGAGCGTCGAATAACCTGATAGACATACCGTCGCCCTTTTGAGCATTGTCAAACATAGTAAGTAGAAAGAATCGTGAGGTCAATCAGGAGCTCGATACTAGCACAGTTAGTGAATACGCAGTACAAGATTGATAGAAATTGAATCTTAACAATTTTATTCAAGGTCTCCTCTTAGTTCTTAAGGCTTGTACGCCTTCGATGGCTAAGCATAACTCAGGTAGTCTCTTTCAAAAAGTTTCAGCACAATACACATTTTACTCTAATTCATGAGTCGGTTTTGGATACTGTATTATCAGATGAAATGTGACAGGAGAAATGACAAGGATTTTTGCGATAGTAGCTTGGTTCAATCTGAGTCGTATGCACTGATTGATTTCTAGGCTAGCAAACTTTCTCTCAATATTTAGAGTCAAGTCTACTGCATTAATTCCCTATGCTTTCTAATCAATTCCCTACATTTATTTGTCTCCAAGCTATCTTCCATTGTAAACCATTCGCCTTCAGTTTAAACCAGATTACGTAACTGTGTAAGATAGAAATTTGTCCGTCGACGACCAGAATTTATGTTTCCGCGACACGGCTAGTTGACTGACCTTCACTGTTCACAACTGATTATCGTATTCATTTTGTCAAATTTCCATCAATTATCCATGATATCAGCCTGAGAAGATTTTCGAAATTATTAGAAATGAAGTGAGTGTATGCGTTGTGCTCCTCTATTAAATCTGACCAAATGTTTCTGGAACTAATTCACATACCTGTATTAGACAATTGCAGAAACTGATTGTATGTATGCTTGACGAATATTTACCATTGTGTAACTGGACACTGATTTTAGATTGTCTTGATATATATTGCGCCGCTGGTTGGTCCGTGTACTTTCGAAATTCAGCTTTGCTATTAATACAGTTTCTCAAGTCCTTACATGTAGCTTTCTAATATAACGTTGTCTGTATTTAGTCGGACACAGCGTTTAGTAAATTAAAAATAGTGAAGACTTAGTTGGATTTTAGTACACAGGTTGGAGTCAGACCCTAGTGCTCAACAGGTCTATAGGAACTTGACTGGTTTCGTTATAAATGAAAATCAACTGGATGAAGAATACAACGCAAAGACCAATGGACACTTATTTCTTCCTAGTTTGAAAACCTTCAATGGTTTGAACTTACGACCTCAAGTGGAATATATATAGTCTGGGACTATGAGGTTACAATGTGAACACACGTAGTTCAGTTGGAATTCGGATGTTCATGATTGACAATGTTTTCAATTCTTAACATAACACCACTGGAATCTAATTTTACCAGTGAGTAACTATCCACACACTAGACTTTATGTTAGTGACTGTTGCTCACCAAAAGGTGCTTCTGAGATTATATGGTTCAGTAAGTGAATAGTACACTATTATCCGTTCTTCATTATCACCTGACTATCTAGGTCCTCTCCCACAATTTATCCAAATCAACTTACAACACAGGGGACAAAATAACTGATTTATTATTTGAAAGGCTCCGGAAATGTGTTTGTTTAATAGACTGGTTCTGAGTTATAATTGGGTGGTGGTTGAAGTCATAACTTAAACACTATCTTTTTTTCTCTTTTCGTCTTCAAGCAACACCTCACTAAATTAAGTAACTGTCACCAAGAGATGGGAATCTCTGAGAAGAAGTGTCCAGTGACTGTAGGGAGGAGGATTGACTGTAACCCTTTTGTCGTCATCAAAGACACACTGAACTGATCAGAAACGGTTGTGTCATTGTACAACAAATATCTCGTACAAAGCAAGAACAACAATTGTACCACGATAATGTGAGCTCATCTTTTATTATTTCGAGGATTCTTCTCAACTGGTTACAACTTGAGGGATAAAAAATATGAATTACATTACATACTTTTCCACGATCACAAGGAGTAATTGGTAGAAAGTAAGAATAACATTAGTCCGGAATGATTTAACTAATTAAGAGTTACAAACAGTGACTATTTATAGAATAATTAGATAATTAGGCTTGGAAACAAAAACAGATTTGCGTATATATGTGTGTGTATAGGAACAAGGTTTAGCTAGAAAGAGCATAACAAAAAAGTAGATTATGTAACTAAAGAAAATGTTTTATCTAACAGCCAATAGAAAAAAAAGAAGAGAAAAGAACAAGGTAGGGTGAGTCATGTTTAGATGAGAGACTAGAGTTTTCTAAACAAGAAAAAAGGTGACTCATAAAAGTTGTGTATTTTGTTATCACCAGGGCAGTGCAAGATTCACCATTGTCTCTTTCTGCGTACATAGATTTGGTTTAAGTCGTTTGATAGCAATTGCTTCAGCAAAGTGTAGCAAGCTAGGTTTCTTTTGCTTGTTGATTATTTTGAACGACTTCAGGTTGTCTACAATATGACCAGTGTCTAATAGATGACGCGCAATCGCACTGTTTAATGCTTGTGGACCTTTCAGTCTCAGGTTCTTTGGTATGTGTTCAGAAATGCAGACAATAACCCCTCTCTCTGTTCTTCCGAAGTATGTGCTTTGGCAGTTGGAGGTAACATGAGGTGGGTATTTGTCCACTTTTGATTGTCTCAAACAACTAGTTGTTTGATAAACACATACAAGCTTGACGGCTGGATATGTTCCTTTCAGGGTAGCGTTCAGTCTACATCTTATTCTACTAGCAGTATCATCACCTTTGAATACAAGCTGCAGAAAGATATGCTTTTTCTCTGCTGTGCTGCTTTTCACTTTTTCAACATGACGTCTCCCATACTTGTCGATGAACTTTTGTGGGTAACCGTTGTCGCGTGAGCATTTCTCCACAATGGATAGCTCTTCCTCAATCTTTCCTTCTGAACACAGCTTCCTTACACGATCAAATAATGTTCTCACCAATCCTTTTTAGTACCTTATAGGGCAGAAGCTTTTGAAGTTAAGATAAACCGCCCTCCAGGTCTCTTTTCTGTGTATATATCTTATGATTTGCCGTCTATATCTCGTTGGATACCCAGGTCAAGAAAATGGAACTTCTCCTCTTTTTCATACTCCATTGTAAACTTAATATTAGGATGGGCTCTGTTCAAGACTTTTAGTACTTGAGATGCATCATTAAAAGAATTACAAATAACGAAAGTGTCATCGACATACCTGGTATAGAAGTTGGTCTGACTGATTGTGGATTTCAACCTTGTTTGTTCCAGACTACCCATAAAAATTTCTGCCAGGATCGGACCCAGGGGGCTTCCTATGGCGACTCCATCAATTAGGCGGTACAGAGTGTTATTGGACTGGAACTGTACGTCTTTGGTGCACATAAGTAAAAGTTGTTTGAGTTCGTTCTTGGGCAGAGGAAGAAGTTCGGCATGTTGACATATAATTTGTATTGTTTCTTCCAATGGGATCTTTGTAAACAGTGAAGACACGTCGAAGGACACCATGGATTTATTTGAGATGCTTAGATTCTCTAATTGTTTAGCGAATTGGAAGGTGTCTTTCAGGCTGTAGACTGCTAATTTACCACGGATCGGTTCTAACATTTCTGCTAGCCACCTAGCTACTTTGTGATACGGCGAATTAATCGTAGATAATATTGGTCTCATAGGGATGTCAGGCTTATGCATCTTTGGTAAGCCGTACAGGTAAGGCAATCTGGATCCCTTAGGCTTCAGTTTGTTGTATATATTGTTGGAATGTGTATTTACTCGTTTGCCTGCTCTTGTGGAGCTGTTTATATTGGACGTTGTAAGCGTAATCTCCGAAAACGTGTAGCTGAACACTATCCAGTCTGGTTAATGAAAGGCGAACGTAGAACTGCGAAGTCGTCTATCTGTGATCACCTGTTAGAGTCAGGTCATTTAGCCCCACGTGATTCATCTTTCAAAGTTATCTACATGGCAAAGTAAGGGGTATATATCACCAAAGACTTTCGAAAACATAAAACCCACAGGCAGCACCATCTCACGCATGTATGGTCTACCGAAAGTGCATAAATCAGGAGTACCCCTACGCCCCATACTAGACATGTCTCATTCACCCTATCACGAGACAGCGAAGTGGCTGGTACAGCTACTTCAACCCTTGCATGACGAATTAGTAAAGCATAGCGTCAAGGATACCTTTCAATTTATTGATAAGATCAAAAACTTGAACACAGCTTGTAAACACATGGCATCCCTTGATGTCTCATCTCTATTCACTAATGTGCCTCTAGTGGATACCATCGACTATATCTGCGAACAGATTATAGAAAAGAAATTGTGCACT